CTCTTGGTTATGTTGCAGGTATCCATCTGTCAAGTAGGACTTTCCTCAGAATCAAGGTCTTAGGCCAAATTAATCCCTGAGATAATTCCATTGTGTTTTGTCTAAGGAAATATCAATTACTGTGAACGGAAGGATGATCTCATGATGAAAGCAGATGAATGACTTGGAATCATGGCTGGGATCTCAGATAGATTCCTCTTCTGCTGTAGAGCTCCCTTATGATCTGGATAAACTGATAAAAATGCCAGTTGCCTCAATTTCCCCCTGTTTAAAATGAGGTTGATTCTAATTTGCTTTCAGAGCCACCTTTTAAGAATCTGTATTCCTCTGAGCTGCTTTGATGTAATGGCCAGTCTTCGTGAACGAAGATCCAGAGAAGGTCTTTACACCTTCCAGCCTGCGCATTGGATTTTTTAGTGAGACACAGTGTGCGCAGAACTGAGCCCACTCTTTAATCCTAAGGTTCATCTGCCGGGGCCAAGCGAGCTTGGACGGTGGCAGCGAGGTCCTCAGGACGTAGATGGATTGCCTTACAGGGTTAATGAGCTCCATCTGCCCGGGGAGTGGCCCCAATCAGGAATCGAACCCGGGCCTTGGTGGTGACAGCGCCGCGTCCTTAACCTCTAGACCACCAGGGGCTCCCAGAGCTACTTTGATAAACAGAACAACAAAAACAAAACCCGAAAACTTGTATATTGCTATTTTTATGAAGTATGAAAAAACAGTGAAGAGGCTTATGTTCTGGGAAATGACAAATAGACATATCTGCAATTAGGAAGTTTACACTGTCAACTTACTCTGAACAAGCAGGATTAAAAACTCTTTTTGATCTCTCTTTGAGCTATCTCAAAGGACAAGGGAGATAAATATGTAAAGCAGATTAGGATTAGTCTAGAATGGAGTAAAATTAAGAAAATCATCCTTGAAAATTCAGAAGAAACTAAAAACTGCCTTTTTCTCTGCCATTGAGATATGCTTACCAGTGAGTCACACAACGTTCTTGTATGTTTTGTTCATACAAGAAACTTCCCTTTAACTATATTTTTTCCTCCCAGAGAGAGTCTGCATAATTAGATTAGGTCAAACTAAAAATGCACTGGTTTTCTCTCTCTCTCTCTCTCTGTCCAGTTCTGCAGCAATACTCTAGCTCCACTGACTGATCTAAAGTAGGAACTGGTGCCTCCTGGAAATGTACGTCCTTAGGAAACGTGTTTGATTAAATGCTCTTTCAAGTACTGATGGAAGTCCTATGTGTTCTTGTTTTTTTTTTTCTGCATGTGTTTAGTTTTTACTGTCCTATTTCAAGCAGGTTTCCATAAGATTTTATAGTTTTGCTCTTGCTACTTATATTTTCTTTGGCTGTCATTGCTGACATTATTATCATAACATTAGCAAACTAAAAAAAAAAAAAAAAAAGCATTTCTTAGGGAATACTGGTCTCTTTGAGGATTAAATGATCTTGTTAGCATGATGGGGAAACAATAGCTTGGATCCTAGTCCACAAAATGAAAGTAAGGTCACTTTTTCCCTCCTTACAAAACACCAGCTCATCCTCAACTGCTAACAATAACAACAGCATGGGTGTTTTCAAATGCACCAAAGTTTACATTTCTGAGGTTCATTAAGCCACATCTTTGGGTGTAATTTAGGTTGTTCAAAAGTAGGCACAATATGTTATAAAACTTATTTGATGGTATCTGAGCATAACAAATTTAAAAATCCCACTTGATTATTCCTATAGTAACACTTAATATTCAAAAACTCCAACAGCTTTTAAGGGGCTAGCCTTTCTCTTCTCAGATGTTGTAAGGAATCTGACACAAATATTTTCTACAAGCTCCAGCAAATGAACCCAGTGTATAGAAATTGAAGTGTCTAATCCAATCTGTTGAGGGATCTGTACCACATGCATTACCCTGACATTTAAAGTCTCATAGTCAATGACCGGTTAACCAAATCTGTCACTGTGACAGACATGTATTTCTACATGCTGTGCCATAACTTAATCTTTCAGGCACAGATTAGGTGAAGTATACTGTAGCACAATGACTCAAATTCTACAATGTCTTTAATGAAGAAATTTCCCAACTGGTATTAAAACAGATAATTTTGATTGCCATATTTGCAATAAAGCAAAATAAGGTGAATTTGTCTACTAAGCTATACACAATAGGTCAGCTGTTAGACTACATAACTCTAGTTATCTTTACAATTATTATTATGTGTTGTTACAACCCTACACCTCTTCCCTTTTCCCTGATACCAGAGTGTGTGACTTTCTGGAAGTGAAGGCTATTTTCAAAATATCTGCTTAGTGACAGATCTGAATTTCTAAATTATCTCTTCTGACACCTCGTGATTACTGTACATCATACCGTAAATCTGCTATGAATCAGAATGTTATCTGATATCTCTGGATGCTATAGTAAATTATGTTCTTCATAACTCCATGCATTTAATACTTTTAACTAACCAAGGAAATGAAGGAATTGTTCTATCATGATTTGATTTCTACCCTCTTGTTTTCTTCTGCAGTGTTGTTTGCTTAAGAAGGACAATAATTTTTATGTTGAACTTGTCTCCAGCTTTCTGCACTGGCTCTTTTTGACTGCTGCCCCCAGCTTGGCCTGGCTTGTGGAGTCCCAGAGCTGACAGGTGGGGTGGTGCATGCACGTGTTGCCATCTATTTCTTTCTATAAAGCAGGTTATCTCCAAGAAAGCTCTTGCCATTGGGAAGAAACTTACCCTTTGTTTATACAGGGAAACATCTCTGCAAGATAGACTTTATGGATTCTTGTCAGTGTAGCTAAATCCATTTGGACAGGCTTATGGAGCCCTAGTACTATCTTCAGCCACCCTGGAGCACTTGGGATGTCCTGGGGAGCAGGTACTTTCTACAGAGCCTATATACCTCATCCTACACTTTCTTGACATTTGTTTTTATTAGACAGTGTCAGGCTTGGTTAACTTTTTTTTTTTTCCTGGAGGATTTGTTTTGTTTCTAAAGCTTTTCTGATAGCCCTCATCTACCCCAGTCAGTAGTTCTGCCTCTTTGAAGAAAAAATTCATATGCTTTTGATGGATAATGAGAGACTTCTGCCACTGTGACTCAGCAGCAATTACACTGTTTTTTATGCAGTTTATTAGGATGTTCCAGAGAAAGAGCTGTGCAAATCTAGTGTGTAAGCTCAGCAATTTCACTGCAGCAAGAAGGACTAAGTCATGATGACTGGGATCTTGGCAGTAGGTCCATAATCACATTGAGAATTGGCATTTTAAGGGAAGAATCACGGGTCTTCTGACAAAGAGTACCAACTCTTGAAAATCTAGGTTGCTGTGTTCTGTGCTTCAGGCTGAAAAGTTTAATGCCAGATCAATGTGATCTGCTAATGGGTTCAATAAGGTCCCTCAAAGCTTTAATATTCTCAACAAAATGCACCCTCCCCCCATGTCTGCAATTACTGTCACTGATGGTGATAACACACTCCCTGAATCTAAGCAGAAGCAGCTGAGATGTTTGTGACTTGGGGCAGACTTTACAGGAGCACTTTGAGCATTGCTTAAAAAAGGTCTTAATGCACTTCGTGTATTTTGAGGTTGCAAAGAACATCATTAAATAATCACATAGGGGAGAAAGAAAACTTGTTAGAAGCTCCCCAATTTATTAGACACAGCTTGATGTACAGACTCGCATTCTTCAGGCAGCGTGATGTGTCACTTGATGGAAATCATGAAGAAATAGTTACACAAAAGGGCTGGCTAGCAGCGAAAGGAGGCAACATTTTAAAAATTCTCTTGACGGACCCAAATCCGTTCCATAACTTCATGCCTCTGTATCCCATGAATTCTGTAAGACCTTTTCAGTGCATTATTTCCCCCAGCTGGGTTTCCTTCGCAGTCTATTTATCTGTCCCATTCGCAGTGTGCAGCTTAAGCTATGCCCACCTCATCTCGTTCAGGCAGCACCCCGGTGTGGGGCTGTCCTGAGGGAGCCCCAGCTTGCAGTGCTCCTTTGTCTTGGGGTGCCTTTATTTCCAGTCCTCCTCTGCCAAGTATCAACGATTTTCCTTCGGTTTTGCATAACTGGAAGTTCAGCTAAGGGCTCCCCGTGGATGTTCATACCAGTAGAGAGGGAAATACCAGGCTGTGGATAAGTTGGGAGCATGGAGTCCCCTGCTCCGGCATCTCATCCTACTAATCTGACCTATTTTGCGGGGCTAAGTATAAAGAAGAAAAGAGGGGAATAGGAGAACAGGAAACCAAGGAAAAGAAAGACAGGAAAAGGAAGAAGAGAAAAGGGGAACAGAGGAAAAGGGAAAAGAAAGTAAGAAGAAAGATAAATGACAAGAAAGAGAAAGCAACCAAAAAGAGAGAAAAAGACTGAAAGAAGACGGGGGGGAAAAAAAAAAAGTCAAAAAACAGAGAAAGGAAACCGTTGACAAGAGAAAGGGGGAAAGAAAACAGTCCCCCGAAGAGGGGAGCACTCGGCGATAACCGGCGGCAGCGGGTCACGCCCAGCCCCGCGCCCGGCGCAGCCCGCCCCGCTAAACCCATCGCGGGCGCCGCGGGCCCGGCTCGGCACGGCCCGGCCCGGGCGCGGGGGCGGTGGGGGCCGCGGGGCGGGGCGCGGAGGGGCGGGCGCGGGGCGGGCCCGCACGCAGGCGCGGTGGGAGCCCGGGGCGCCCCACGCGGGCGCTCCCAGAGCCTCGGCGGCGGCGCCCGGCTCGGCAGCGAGGGGGTCGCGGGCCGGAGCTGGAGCAGGAGCCGCGGCAGCGCCGAGGCGCCGCGGGAGGAGGGCGGGAGCTGGAGACGCGCTCCGCTCCGCTCAGACCAGCTGCGCTCTCCCCTCCGCTCGCCCCGCTGCCATGGGGTAGGGGCGGCGGAGCAGGGGGACGCCGTCAGGCTGCGGCGGCCGGCGGAGCGCGGAGCAGCGCCCCGCGGTGCCGGGGGGCGCGGAGGTGGCGCGGCGGGGCTGGCGCGGGAGGCTGGGCAGGGCAGGGCAGGGGGCTGCCTCGGTGCGAGAGCGGCGGTGGCGGCAGGCGGAGAGATGATCGCGGAGTTGTTGAGCAGCGCCCTGGGGCTCGCCCTGTACCTCAACACCCTGGGCGCCGACTTCTGCTACGATGACAGGTAGGGCGGGGAGCGGCGGGACTGGGTGGGTGGGCGGGGGCTGCCCACCTGTCGGGAGCGGGGTTTTGGCCTCCCCCGCTCGGTATGCCCGGGGTGACGCCGGAGGGTCCCCATGGCTCCTGGGTTCTGGGTGGCTGCGGCGGCACCCGCCGCTCGCGGGGCTTTGACAGCTTGGACTCGGTCCTCTCCAACCCCAAGCAGCGGGAAGGGACCTACCGCTCTAACTTGGCATGCCCCAGGCTGATCCTTGATGCGCAGTACCAGCGGGGCGCCCGACCACCTCCCGTCCCGTCCTAGCGCTCCCCCGGGACCGAGACCCTCTCGGGAAGCCGCCCCCGCTGCCCGGCTGCTCCCGGGAGCGCAGCACCGCCGGCGGGACCGGCGCGGGGCTGGCTGGGGCTGGGCTCCCCACCTGCTCCTCTCCTGGTCGTACCTGCCCGCCAGAGCTGCGGGAAGGCGCTGTTCGCAGTCGGGGGAAATACCGCTTTGTGCCTTTTCCGGTGACTTAATCTGATAGCATTTAAAACAGATGCATAATTATAATGTATTAGGGAGAACAGCACGCCTGGCTAAACTTATTAACTGTCCTGGGGTGATTCATGCTCCATTGGAATTAAACCATTCAAAAAGTGAGCAGGGATTGACTTTGACAGCTTTTCATCAGCCTCTCTCCTCTGTGGCCCCGGGTGCGGGCGGTCGGGGGCTCGGCGCGGCTCGCCCTGTCCCGTCCCGTCCCGTCCTGGCAGCGCGGCTGGAGTCCTCCGGGAACCGGGAGCTGGCCACCCGTAAGGGCTGTCTGTGTGTGCAAGGGAGTGACTGAGTGCCCCTGGGTGGGGTGTGTGAAGCAGAGGGTCCCTGCGGCGCGGTGCAGGTTGCCGATGCCCTCGAACTCCGAGCAGCTGTCGGGCAGGGTCGATGCCTTGGAGCCTTTGATGTGAGAGGAGGGACGCGAGGAAGCACAGTGAGATGGGATTAGGGATGTGCCTGAGCAGGAAGGTGTTGGTCGGATGAGCTGAATTTCCCGGCGCGCTGATGGGATGCGAAAGGGTCAGATGTGTCTTTAATTAGGCATTTGCCTCGGGAAACAAGTTGCCTGTCCTGGAGTAGATTAGTTACTAAACTTGGAATTTTCCTCCCTTAAGCGGTATTACAGTGCACCTGCCGTGTTTAAGGATCTGTCACTGCTTCCAGAATACTTCCCCCCTGTTTTCAAGGCTTGCTACTATTAAATCTGTTATACTGGAAGCAAATGCCAAGTGTTAGTCCTGGTCTAGGTCTCTGGCTGGAAACAGAGTTGGCTGCAGAATGTGGCAATTCAGGCTTCAGCCCTTCGGGTCATTTACATACACTTGAAGCTTTGTGAGCAATTAAGTGGTTTTAGGTTTCTGTGAGTCTTCCAATTTCTTACAATGATTTTTCTTAAACGTATTTTAAAGTTTTGAGACTTCATTCACAAACAATAAAAGAAAAAACTAGCTGTTACTCTGTAATGTGAGGTCTGAGTTGGATAAATAGAAAGTAGTGAATACTTTGTCACACTGATACTATTTTAAACCCCTTGTTATAGTTAGGAACTTCAGGAGTTGTGGAATATTTACAAAACCCTATATAGCATATGTTGCAATGTTTGGGCAAAACTGGGTTGTTTAAGGACATGCTTGTAAGCCTGTCCTGTAGGCCTGTTCAAATTAGTTAGGCATGGAAGGCAATTCGAAGTACAACCTGGTGCTATTGATGTGGAGGTCAAGGTTACTCTTGATCTTTCCTGGGTGTGCCTTAATGCAGTTGGAAAAAAGCGGCATGCATTTGAGTGTAATCTCGGAAAAGGTAATCTCCCATTGTCTTTGCTGGTACTAATCCCAGGCTACTTAAGTGTTCTAAAATACTGTTTTGTTTATGTGTTTACCTCCTAGCTAAATAAAGTACTGTCATTGTAGCTAAGATTTAGGCATTTACTAGAGTGCTCTGAAAGCCAGTTAATGGCATTTCTCTATGTGGGGGTCATCTAATTAGGATGTTTTTCAATTGCAGCACTGGAAGGGACAAGGCAGAAATGGCTGTTTCGTGCTAGTAATTGTTGAACTAGAAAGGTTTATCTATTCAACGAGGCAGGCTCTCAGACCTGAAGTATTCTTTTAACTGTAATCACAGGATCTTGCTGCCCTGCAGGAGCCCGCTTGAAACTTAACACTAGAAAAGGAGGTTGATGCTGGAGCTGCAGGACACAGCCCTCCATGAGGGAGATGGATCATGCTGCTAACTTTAAAGATTGTGCATTTAAGCTGGGAACCTACGATGCCTTGTTTCAGGAGGGCAGCATGTTGCCATGGCTTTTTCTGCTTCCTTTGCCATCATATTGAAATTACATCAGACTGGTCTCTTTTTAATATAGTGATCAAGCTTACTACATAAAGGCTGTCTGTAATTGCTTTCTGTATTTTTTAACGTAGGTTGGGCAAGATGAAGTGGCATCATAAAACTTCTTATAGCAAAATCAATTTCCCAATGGTAAAACTTAATATTTTAGCAGCAGCACGGCACCAAAGCAAAGGCTGTATGGACAGTGATATAACCAACTTGCTTGTAGTCTGGGCTTTATGACTCTATATCAAAGGATTCAATATTTTATTTCCCACCCTTCACCCAATTAAACTGAAATTGAATGAATTTAAAGCCTGAGGAAGTTGAGTGACCAAATGTGCATGTTCTTACTTTTGGTCATTAGAGTGCCTAACTTGTTGTTTCTTTCAGACTAAACAGATATATGGCACATGCATAATCAGTACAAACGTGATATTTTTGATCAGTTGACTTATTGATTAGTTTGAGTGCAAGTGACAGTCTTTAAACTCGAGAGCCAGTGTAAAGAAGCACTGCCTTTTTTTTTTTTTCCCTTCCATGGAGGTGTAGACCTAGAAAACACAAGCTTTTGCCATCCTAGTCCCTGCTTCTGTAATTCTCACAGATAGCTGTGATATTTCCTAGTTACATGTGAACTACGACCGCCCTTGTTCAACTAGGAGCAAATAGATGTATTTTTCCCTATTTTTACTTATTTGTTTTATTTGAAGCTGAATGCAGCATGCAGTAACCCAAAACAAGAGGTAATGAGGGAAGAGGTGGGGGAAATATTTAGATGTTGATCTAATGCCACAGTAGCTCATGTTGCTTGATAATAAAGGTTTGTTTATTGCTGAGCAAAATCATCTTGGAAATGGTAATGGGGTAGGGCGAAATGCAGTTGCCATTCTTGAAGATGCAATAAAGATCTTGCTTGTTGCACCGTGTTAAACCCAGCTTTTTGGCAGATTAAGGGGGCTAATCTCTGCACATGTAGTTCGTGTTTCATGCTAATATCTACCAGTATTACAGGAGGGAAACCCGTTGCTGCAATTAGGCTTACAAATCTACATTATTAGTTTTTGCTGCCATTTAAGCCTCCTCTGCCCTCCTCCCCCTCCCAATAAGCAATTTGATCTGCAGGTGCCTTACATTGAAGCTGTAGTCCCTCAGATGACCTGTGCTAACTAAGACAGGTCAGTGTCACGTTATAGCTGGAGTGTGGAAGATTTAGTGTTCTGCGTATCTGAGGTCATGCATTGTTAAAGTGAACATGTCAAAAGCAACTCATCCATTGAGGTGTTCCTTTCTTCTCCTAAATGTCAGAAGAAAGGCATATTTTAAGAAGAGTAAGAACCTTTAACCTCAAGTGATATATTTTCTCAGGGACTCATGAACAAAACCTGTGCTCTGGAAAACGCGTACAGATGTGTCTGTGTCCATGTCAGGACGCTTCCATGAGATTTGGTAGTGCAGACCAACTTTCTCTAGCTTGTACTACATTTTGTTTAGCTGACCTGAATGAGGCATCCTTGCTGATGGTAGAAAATATCCATCAGCCTTGTTTCAAAGTTGCCAGGCAATATTCCAAACAGCGTTGAAGAAACCCTGATAAATGTTTTCACCCTGTGGTGTCAAGACATGCAAAATTTAAAAACAGGCCGAGCCCATACACATTTGACAGTACCTCTGTTGGGTCTGTCACATGAGATTTAATCTAGCAAGTGACCCAAATACACGCACTAGAAGAACAAGTGTAAGTACACTGGGGAAAATTGCTCGCCATCTGTCTCCTTGTTGTGTGTGTATATTTGATTATTAATTTACATCTCTGATTTTTATGGCCCCTTTTTGTCATCTACTCTCAATTTTTCAGCTCCAAGTGCATGTCTCCAGTAGCTTTTAGTAGCTCCACTTTGCAGGTGGCTGAAATCTGAATTCCAGCAGTGAGGTAGGTGTGGGAAGACAGGGACTTTTGTTTGTTCTCTGTTGTGTTTTCCCTTTGTCCCCTCTATTCCATCTTCTGCATGCTAATTTCAAACCACCGTAAAGATAATTTGTACATGAAACAGTGGCTTTAACATATTCATGCAGGAAAAAGGTAACCCAGAGAAAATGCCTAAGTAACTTAGGCTGTGTAGTTTTCAGGGGTTGTAGTTGAGTAATAACCAAGTGAACCAGTAACTAATGGGATGAACCTGGCACAATAATAATCTATTAATATGATACCAGTTTCATTTATAAATGCTAAAAATATGTTTATATTTTGATTTTGAAAGGGTTTGTGCATAACAAGTTGTGTTAAATGAAACACTTTGATCAAAATAGGAAAAACGTAAAATCTTCCTTTTATCAAAAATTTTTTAATTTTAATTTTTTTTAAAAATTATTTTATTTAATTTTTTTTTTCATTTGAGATGCTGTTGTATAGAGATTTTTGGAAGCAAAAAAAGAAATTATACCCCTACAGGCTTTTTTTTTTTTTTTTTAAGATTCTTGTTGCATATGTAACATTAACATAAAGCATGTCACTTCTAGTAGCTGGTTCAGAGAACAAATTCATGACTGTTAGCAGACGGAGAGTCTCCCTGAGTCACTGATGGGATATGCCTCATCTGCAGGAAGTTCTTCCAGCACACAATGGAGTTACAAATTGAAAT